ATCATTTAATATTCTGCCCATAGCATCCTTGATTACAGCAACTCTAGGTTTGAATCTGTACTAGTGTTAAATTTAAAAGTATAGTTTGTAAAATATAAAAAGTGTAGAGAAAGATCAATTCAAGAGAGGATCTGAAAAAAAACCAGCAACCCACCAAAACCCAAAAAAAATAACCCCACCTCTGGACATTCTGCATATAGCTTTTACTTACAGCTTTTAGAGCTGCTGGACCTTGACCATTTCTAAGATTCAGCCTTCTGTGCATACCTCTTTGACACTCGACAGGAAAAGTGCCTCCATCATATTTCTGTTCTCTTCCCTGCTTCACCCTAGAAGACTAGTTGTAAGAAGCAATAGGTAGGTGCAGTTTTATGCTTTGTAAAGTTAAGAGGAACAGAGAGTGAGCTTAATAGAAATGTTGCACCTACTTGTGTAAAAAAAGTGACCTTAATTATTGAGAGTGATGGGCTCAGAAACAATATGAAAGTATTTTGAAACAATAAAAGGTTTATTCAAATATGAGATAGTACTTAATAATTGTGTTCTTTTAATAGGTGGTGGCTGCAGACTTTGTGGCTCTGTGGAACATTATCAGAAAGATTGCCCTGAAAATAAGAATTCAGGTAAGATAACTACAGTCAGTTTAGTATGGGTGAGACTAGTACTTCTCTGTGGCATTTGTTGTTAGTAACCTTCATTGAGCACCATTAGTTGGAAGGCAGTTTATTGTCCTGCTACAGTGATGACTTAATCACTTCACTGTCCACACATCACTGAGTAACTGAACATTAGCTCCTGTTCTCAGTTTTTTAAAAAAAAAACAAAAGCATAACCATTCAGCCTTAGAGAAGCAGGACTTTACAAAGTATTTTATTTCTAAATGCTTGCATTTCTTAACTAATGAATTTAATCATGTATAATTAATTATAAAGCCAGTTAATTCTGCTCCTTACTAAAAAGTCTTGATGCGCCAAGAGAAAAATAACAAAATATGAAAATAGCTTTCAGTTTTCTTGGGATGGAGTGGCCTCATGTATTTTGCTTTGTGTGTACCCAGAGGGTTCGGCATTGATTGTGAAAACTGATAAAAATATTAACAGTGTATTATTCAGACAGCATCTAACCAGTTACTTTCTTTCTAATGAAATGATAGTTATGGTAGTAGAAAACTTAATGTTCTGTATTCAGAGTTCGGGCAGCAGAGTTATAGGGAGTAGTGCTGTTAACCAAAGGCAGCACCTCTCCAGCAGTTCAGGTCCACCAGCCTCACAGGAGGAAGATGGATTGTCTCTTCCTGTGTAGTTTACAGCCTCTAAAAACCTGCTGGAGGGTCAGCTGTGAATCAGTTCCAACTCTGTAGCAATGAGTGCATATGAGTGATACCTATGACAGACTTGAGGTGAAGTAGAAACAGTTATTATGTTGGTTTGTCTGCTTTAGAATAACAGTAATCTTTGTGGAGTCCTGGTGTTATAGTCCGTAGGGAATTGCCCTGCTAACTTCAAGACAGACCATTTCTGGCAGTTTGAATCCATCAGCCGCTCGTCAGGAGAAAGATGGGAGGTCTCTTCCTGTGTTGTTTATAGCCTCTGAAAACCTTCCAGGTCAGCTTAGTTGGTTCCAACTCTGCAGTGACAGAGAGAAAAATCTGTTTGAACAAAAGCAGGGAAGTATTCAAAAGTCAGACTCACTGCCACCAAGTCAATTCCAACTCATTTCCAAGGCTGTAAAGCTTGCTTGCAGAAAGTGTATAAGACTTCAAGCACTTACTGCAGAACATCAAAGACTACAGCCTTCAATACGGATCACATCTCAACATTGAGGAAACAGAAGTCCTCACCACTGAGCCAATAGGCTGCATCATGATAGAAGGAGAAAAAATTGATGTGGCCAGTGATTTCATTTTACCTGGGTCTGCAATCAATACCCATGATAGCAATAGTCAAAAAATCAAAAGATGTGTTGGGTTGGAACAGTCTGTTGTCAAGGACCACTCCATAGTGCTAAAGAGCAAAGATGTCAGTTTAAAAACTACAGTGCATGTGATCCAAGCTATGGCCTTTTCAGTTGCTTCCTGTGTATCTGAAAATTAGGCAGTGACTAAGATGACAGAAGAATAATCAATACCTTTAAATTGTGGTGTTGGGGAAGAGTACTGAATATCCCATGGACTGCCAAAAGAACAAACAGGTCTGTCTCGGAGTAAGTGCAGCCAGGATTTCCTTAGAGACCAGGAGGGTAAAACTTTGTTTCACATGTTTTGGACATGTCATCATAAAGGGCCAGTCCTTGCAAAGAAACATCATGTTGGGAAAATTAAAGGGTCAGCAGAAGAGTGGAAGGCCTTCAACAACATCGGTTGACACAGTGTACCAGTGGAGTAAAGCGTTTGGGAGATGTGAGGATGGTGCATGCAGGGTTCAGATCTGTTGTTGGCAGGCTCACTATAATTTGTATTTGATTTGAGGGCACGTAACAATGGCGGCAAATTTTAACGGGAAAAGATGCCTGCCTGTTTTTCTTCTGAGAAATCACTAGAGACATTAGCAGGCTTATTGTTGATGTTAAGTGCTGTCAAGTATTGTATGACTCAGTGACCCTCTGAACGATAGATCTGAACTCTGCCCTGTGCTGCACCATCATTGTCATCCTTGACATTATCATCCTTTGAGTCCTTTGGTGGAGACACTGTCATTACGTCTTGTGTAAGGTCTTCTTCATTTAGCAAGATAGGATACTATAAACTATACCATAAGAACTGCAATAGAGTCTCCTAGGGTAAAAATAAAGGCTGTAATACCATTTCTTTTTTATTCATATAGTCAAAGTAGAATACAGAATTTGTTGCCCATTCTTGTTGTTGTTAGGTGCTATTGAGTCAAGTATGACTCATAGTGAACCTGTGAGCAAGGGTTCTGAACCCTGCTCTATCCTGTGATGTACTCAATTTCTAAAATACATGAGCCCATTACAGCATTTCCTGTGTCAATCCATCTGGTTGGGGGTTTTGCTTTCTTTCACCAGCCCTCCACCTTTCTGAGCATGACGCCCTTCTCCAAGGAATAGCCTCTCATAACAATATGCCCAGAGTATCCAGGACTATGCTTTTTTGGTTATCCTTGCCACCAAGGGGCATTCTGACATACCCCTAAAGTTAATTGTCAAAACCAAAGTTATTGTTTACAGAGTTGTCTAGAAAAAAGATAGTTTTTACTACATTGTAGGCAGTAAGATTGAAATGCTGAAGTGGATTTGAAGTCTCCCTCCTGGGAGGATTGCCACTTTCCAAGTGACAAGACTGACAAGCAGATGTTGTATAATTTCACAGGTGGAATCTTGTGCATTTAAAGCTGATGCTTCATATGTCTTGCTGTTTACAGACTCTTGGAATTCATTGACTATAATGATGAATTCTGGAAAAGAATGAAAGAGCTTTCTCATCAATTTGTGCATCGTAAAGTAGTTGCTGCATTTCCCTAATTGGGATGAGAAATTGCCTGTGGTACTTTGAAATCAAGGGTTATAATCAATTACAGAATTGCTCACTTTCCTTTAGTGATGGTGTCTTCTTGTGATTATTCATGTCAATATGAGTTCCTTTTGCTCACTCAGTACCATTCTACATGGATGTGTTCAATTACATTCTCTTTCTTACATTCCAACTTTTCTTTTATAGATCGAATGGTCACAGTTGGTCGCTGGGCAAAGGGAATGAGTGCCGACTATGAAGAAATTTCGGATGCTCCTAAACCCCAGAAACCCAAAACAAAGACACCCAAAGTTGTTAATTTCTGATGCTTATTTCATGAGATGGATTGAGACTTTCAAAGGGGTCTGTATGATGATGATCTGGACATATCCGTCAACCGTTTCCTGAGTTCGGCTTGTTAAGGAGTATTTCTACCAGTTTTTGGAGAACAGCATTGATAAAAGTTTAAGGTGTTTGAATTGAACTCTTTAAAACCTGCTTAATAGGCAAAATTTAGAAACAACTAAGAAATTATGATACTTAATTTTAAGTCACCTTTTCCTAAAAACAAACCTATGGATTGATGAGAGTGGTGTTCAGTTTTCTTCAAAATAGAAAATTTATTATTATTTAAATTTATTATTATTATACAACAAAGATGTATTTGTAATTGCAAAAAAAAATGATATATTTTTAAAATAATAATAAAGTCGTTACTATTGTTCTTTCCTTCTGAGTGTTCCTCTGAAATACCATGTGGTTTGGTTCCAGGGCACCACAATAAAGGAAGTCACACGAATATTTTCCTAGTATCCCAGCACATGTGAAAATTATGTTTATATGATACTCTGTAAGAGGGCAGTTGTTAAGTGCTGTCGGGTTGACTATGACTCATAGCGACCATGTGAACAAAGATCTGAAGGAACCCTGTCCGTCCCATGCCATCCGTATCATCTCGGAGATACTTGATCCCATTGCTTTAGCCACTGTGTCAGACCATCTCATTTAGAATCTTCCTCTCTCTTGCTGACCTTTTCAGGCATGATATGCTTTTCCAAGGACTAGCCTTTCCTAACATGGCCAAAGTACGTGAGATGAATCTTCACCATCCTTGCTTCCTTGTTGTTGTTATGTGCCATCAAGTCACTTGCGACTCACAGCGACCCTATGTACAACAGCCCTAAACCCTGCTCTATCCTGTGCCAATCGCACTGCCTCTGACACACCCATCCCTATTATCCCAGTCACTGAATCAGTCCACCTCATAGAGGGTCTTTTCGTCTTGCACCGTCCCTCCACCCTCCCAAGCATGATGTCCCTCTCCAAGGACTTGTCCCTCCTTACAACATGTCCAAAGAATGTCAGATGAAGCCCCAGAATCCTTGCCTCCAAGGAGCAGCCTGATTTAACCCTTTGCAGGATGAATCTGTTTGTTTTCCTAGCAGTCCATGATACATTCAATACTCTTCTCCAGCACCACAGCTCAAAGGCATCAATTCTCCTGCTATCCTCCCATAGCCTGTATCAGATGCACCTTCATCTCCAGAGTGACACCATTGCTCTTTAGTACTCTGGAGAGGTCCCTAACAGCAGACTTTCCCATCACAATATGTTTTTTGATTTCCTGGCTACTGGTGCCAAGAGTGTTGACCGTGGAGCCAAGCAAACTAAAGCTGTGAACAATCTCAATCTCTTCACCATCCATCCTGATGCTGCCAATTGGGCCAGTGATGAGAATCTTTGTCTTCTCGACACTGAGCCTCAATCTGTACTGAAGGCTGCAGTCCTTGACCCTCTGAAGCAAGCATTTCAGGTCCTCCTCAGTTTCAGCAAGCAGGGTTGTGTCATCTGCATAACGCAGATTGTTAATAGATCTTCCACCAATCCTGATGCCACACTTCTCATTGTAGAGCCCAGCCTCTTGGATAATCTGTTCTGCATACAGGTTGAAAAGGTATGGAGACAGGACATCCCTGGCGTACACCCTTCCCAATTTTGAACCATGCAGTGTTTCCCTGCTCTGTTCTGCCCACTGCCTCTTGGTCCAAGTATAAGGTTTCACCTTAGCACATTTCAGTGTTTCGGGATTCCCAAAAGGGACTGCTATAGCGTTATGAAAAATACTTAGATAATTATAAAAATTCAATAGGGGATATGAAGTGACCTGTGGAAAAGTGGTGGGGAAGTGGTGCGTATAGCCTTGGTTGGTGCAAGGTTGCCATGTTGTGTCCTGTAGAGCTGAACCTCAGGTGGGTTTTCAGAGGCAGTTAATTGCACAGGAGGAGATTGCTCATCCTCTGGTGGAGCACCTGGTGGCCTCGAACCCTGTGCCTTTGGATTGCAGTGCAACTCTTGCCACTCTACCACTAGAGCTCCCTGTGGCTGCCATCAATAGTTAATTTGTTAAAAAAGTGGTATCTGCTAGGCCTGTACCTAATTTTAAATTGAACAAGCCATTATCCATATCAGTGTAACAATCCCTTTCAAAAGAAGGTCTTGAGAATTTTCATGAGATTAAAAACAGATTTGTTTTTATTTTTGACATAAAAAAATAAAAAATTGTTGTTAGGTGCCATCTAATTGACTATGACTCATAATGACCTTAAAAGCAATGGATCTGAATCTTGCTCTATTCTTTGCCATCCACATCATCCTACTATACTTGAACCCATTGTTACAGTCACTGTGTTGATCTATCTCATTGAGGATCTTCCTCTTTGGCTGACCCTCCATCTTTCCAAGCATGATATCCCTCTTTCCAAGGACTGTGCCCTCCTATCAACATGCCAAAAATACATGAAATCAAATATCATCTTATTTGCTTGCAAGGAGCGCTCTGGTTGAATTTTCTCCAAGGTACATATTTATTTGTTCTTTGGCAGTCCATAGGATATTCAGTACTTCAACACCAAAGCTCAAAAGCATAAGCTCTTCTGTCATCCTTATTCATTCTCCAGGTCTCAGATGCATGGCAAATGATTGAAAAGACCATTCTTGAATGAGGCACACTTTAGTCGTCAAACTGCTATTGAACCTCAGTAATTTGAAGAGGTTGACTTGCTCAGTTCAATCGCCTGCTCTCCTGACTCTTGGTACCAGGGTATTGATTGTGGATCCATGCAAGATGAAGTCTTTGATAACTTCATTCTTTTTTCCATCTGTCTTATTTATTGGTCCATGGTGAGGGTTTTTGATTTCTTGATGTTGAGATGCAGTCCAAGTTGATCTTCTGTGGCAAGTATTTTAAGTCTTCTTCCCTTTCAGCAGGCATGGTTGTATTATCTGCGTATGCTGATTATTGATGAATCTTCCTCTGATCCTGATACCACATTATTTTGCATAAAGAGCTGTTTCTCAAATGATTTGTTAAGTACATGGATTGAATAGATCTGAAGAAAGGATATAGCCCTGATGTACACCTTTCTTGATTTTGAACCATTCTCTTGCTCTGTTTAAACAACATTCTCTTGATCTATGTATAGGAGTGACATGAGCACAATTTAAGTGTTCTGGGATTCTCATTATTTTCAGTGTTAGCCATAATTTGTTTTGATCCACACAGTCAAATGCCTTTTCATAGTTAAGAAAATATAAATAGATATCCTGGTATCCCCTGCTTTAAGCCAAGATCCATCTGACATCAGCAGTGACATCCCTGGTGACATACCTTTTCTAAATCTAGAAGACACTTCAGCTTAACAGAAGTCCTTCATCCTTGGTTTTCAAAAGAAATTCTAGACAGATGACTTGGTTTTACATTGCTATAAAACAGAAATATTCTAAATGGTAACAAGCAGGTTTATTAAGAATTAGAAGAGGGTGGTAGTCTGAATTCAGACACTAGCTCTTAAGGAAGGCTCTTTATTGGCCCTTGGTGAAGACTTCTGTCTCCACTATTCTAAACTAGCATTTCTTGATTCCTTAGTGATCTTCAGTGGCATCTATCCAGTGTGTGTTTGCTTCCATGTCTAATATCATTTTAATAATTCAGAAGTGCTTAAGCTTAGCATGTATTCTTACTGTTAAGACTTCATTAACATAACAAAAACATCTATCTTATTAGTTGTGGTCCAGGCTTCAACTCTTAGTGACCAGATGTACAACAGACAAACCCCTGTCTAGTCTTAAACAATCCTCAAAATCTATAATGTGTTTAAACCCATTGTTGCAGTAACTGTGTCAATACATTTAATTGAAAGTCTCCCTTTTTTTCACTGAACATCTAATTTTCTAAGCTTGTTATCTTTCAGGGACTGGCCCCTCCTGATAATATACACAAAGTACATGAAACTGTGCTTCACCATCTGTAAAAGAATGTAGGCAGCAGGGAGATGGCCATATCTGACTTATAACTCCACAAAAGAGAAATAACTCCCCATCTATAAAAAGAGCAAGGGCCACATAGAGAGTGCCATATTTGACCTTTACCAGCTTTTCAGTAGGAAACCATCACTGTCCACCGTGTCAATAACACAAAAACCAATCCCCATGAGGTCAGACATGTTCCCCAACTCCCATACCTCTTTCTACTCATTTCAGCACCAATATTACTGTCTTGGTAGGTCCAAAATCTGAAGTGGTAGCTCACAGACCACACAGAGCCATATTGGGGGAGTTAAAAGATTATAATCCAGATTAGTAACAATACAGTCAAGACAGCTCCCAAAATGTACACACAGGCACTTCCACCTCAAGCCTCATTACTCCAGACAGTGTTCCCAAGTTTCAGTCCTGCCAGTATTGGATTCCTTCCCCAATTGTCTAACAAAGTTCTCAGTACTGCCAGTACTGGCTTCTGCCATTGTGGTCCAACAAAGTTCTCAGCCCTGACAATATTGGCTTTCTCCCCTACCACAAAAGTTCCAGTTTTCCAATTCAGCCATGTCTGCCGCCGCCATCCCAAAGTGTGTCCTACATTTTCCTGTCTCCTTTACCAGGTTGGGGAAGGACTCTTTTCTTTGCCTGGGGAGGATTCCTTCCTCTTTTGGTGGCAGAAGATTCCATCTCTGCAGCTAGAGCTGTTGAATTTTTTTACAAGACTAGCCAATCCTCTTGTAGATTGTTTAGACTGGCCAATCCTCTTGTGGCACAGTCCTGCCCATCCACAGAGCATAATCAAGTAATGGCTGGAGAAGTCGTAATGAAAAATAAACTCTTTATCACAAAAAACATCTACAGTACAAAACCAATTTTTATAAGGACAGGTACAGTCTCCCACACTCCTGCATCTGCTTTTACTAATTTCAACACCTGTCCTCCTGCTCTACTGGGCTTAGAATCCACTGCAGTGACCACACACGTCTCACAGAACCATTCTCATGGTGATGGAGTTGATTAGGGAAGTTAACATGTTATAATTC